AAAAAAAAAAAAAAAATGGGGGAGCATAAAAATAGAGATTTTATTCCTCCTCACTGGAATGTCCACCCTTTTCTTCTTTACCTATCACACCAAGTTCTCATCACCAATCAAGGCTCAGCACAAATCAGAGATTTTTACAAATATTATCATTCAAAATCCTAGCATGGAGAAATTCTCTTTCATTTCCCATCTGCATCACTCATCTGACCCATAATGTACCTTGCCTCGTCCAATCTTTCACATACATATATGCCTTGCACACAAAGGAAAAGAAATACTTCCTGTCTGACAGAAGGGCATGGTTCATGGCCATTTAGTGATGCATAAATAGTACCTGCTTTTCTTCACTGAAAGAATGACAAGGTATCAGTTGGAAGGGATCAAATGAGCTGAAAAAGAAAAAAAAATCATTTCTAATATAATCTCAATGACAAGATCAGGAAAATAACATTCACTTAAATTTGAAAATGTGTATCAATAATCTAAATCTAGATTCTCAGAAAAATACTAAGCGAGGGGAATTTCTTAGGACATCCCACATAACTCTGCTGAGTTTTGGACTTGATTTAAAAAATGGGAAATGACAGGGCCTTTGGGAGAAAGTAGTTGTTGCCTTAGTTTCTTTTAACACCCAAAGAGAAGAATGTTGTACCCACACATGTGTCCGAAACTGAAAGGTTTCAAAAAGTTTGAAGAAAATGTAAACAACTCCCTGACATGACATGGTAAAAAAAGTTTCAAGAAGAAAGTTCTCAAAAACACTTGTCAGTACGGTATCAGCACAGGGTAGGGACTCAAATATTTGTTGAATGAATGGCAATGGTTCTACTAAAGAAATCAATGTATATGAAAAGTTCAATGATAAACTTGTATTTTAAAATAAAAAAGTTAGGGGCAGGTGAGTGTCTCAGTAGGTTAAGCATCCGACTTCAGCTCAGGTCATGATCTGGCAGTTCTCTTGAGTTGGAGCCCCCACGTCAGGTTCTGTGCTGACAGCTCAGAGCCTGGAGCCTGCTTCAGATTCTGTGTCTCCCTCTCTCTCTGCACCTCCCTCATTTGCACTGTCTCTCTCTCTCAAAAAGAAACATTAAAAAAAAATGAAAAAAAAAAATGAGAAAGTTAAAAAAAAAAAGACAAAAAAAAAGAGGGGCACGTAAGCAAGGGTAGATAAAAAAGCATGTATTAATCTGAGAGCAATATTAGAAAGGCTTTGAGCAGTAAAGAACTGAAGTCTGAGGAAGATATCAAGAATAAGGTTTCTTTAGGCTATGGTCAGAGAAAGAAAAAAACAAGGAATATATGTTCATGTTAACACAACCAGAAAAGAGCAGGACTATTTAGCTCCTATTCTACCAGAGACTGTTCGTGTCAGCAATTCAGACACTTTGTACTCCAAGTGCCTAGAACAGTGCCTGATACATAGTAAGCATTTTTTCAGAAATATAAGATGAATGAAGAGGAAAGATCTTCAAGTAAAAAAGTGCTTCATCAACACGAAAAAAAAGAACACAAAGACAGCATATGCATCCCAGAGCAATGAAGAACCATGATGTGAAACCCACTGACCTTTTTGGAGGAACTGTTCAGAATGGAAAAATTATTGGAGGGCTACAAATAGGCAATTTTGGGCTTTATTTTCTTAAACAAAGCAGACTTTGGGAGCAGAGGAATTAAATGTGAATATTGAGAAAATTCTGGAAAAGATTATTCAACAGCTGATTTTGAGCCTTTAGCAAGTGAAGAGAGGACTACGAAGGGTAATAATGGATTCATGAAAATATATGTCATGATAAGTAAATCTAAATTTCATTTTTTTTTAAATGTTTTTTTAATGTTTATTTTTGACAGAGATAGAGACAGAGCGCAAGCAAGGGTGGGCCACAGAGACAGACAGACAGACAGACAGACAGACAGACAGACAGACAAAGAAATCTTAAGAGGCTCCACGCTCTGAGCTGTCAGCACAGAGCCAGACACGGGGCTCGAACCCACGAACCATGAGATCATGACCTGAGCCGAAGTCAGATACTTAACTGACTGAGCCACCCAGGTGCCCCTAAATTTCATTTTTGATAGAACTGATCTGCTAGAAACTAGCAGACTCATAAAGATTCAAATATATTTTGTCTGAATGTAAGCAAGACATCTACTATGATTTTTCTTCTGCACAAGATGAAAAATCATGAGTCAACTGTGGCAATGTATAGCTGATGGAACAATGATGTCTGAGGCTTTCCCTTATTCCAGTTAAACATTTTAAGCAGTGATCAATGGCAGAAGAGGTAAGCTTACTGAAATGTTGACTCAAATCTATGAAAGCTAATATAAGAAAAGTGGAGCTGGATTCAGATTGTGACAAACTGGAACAATGACTTGGAAATCACAATAAATATGTCTCATGCTGAGATTCAGAAAAGCAAATGTCTGGATACTAGATAAGGAGTCCTAGCTTATGGATGACGATATTTTTTTACATAGTTTATCTTATTTTACTCTCACAACAACTGTAGGTTTTAATTTTTCTTTTAGAGAGGGGATATATAATGTAATGTTAGCAGTATGGATTCTTAAGTCTGACTGCCTGGATTAAATCACAGCTCCATCACTAACAAGCATGAGCAAGTTTGTTTCCTCATGAATGATATTATTAACTACTGCACAGGGTGGTTATAGGGATTAAATGAGTTAATATATACAAAGTGCTTAAAGCATAGTCAACAGCCTCAGCTATTATAGTTATTATTTTATGAATGAGCACTGAAGGCTTAAGGCTTTACATAACTTACCTAGGGACTTACACTTGGTTAAACATCAGGGCTCTTTCACTGAAAATGACCTGGGGACATTTCTAGATATCTTATTTTAAAAGGGACACTGGTGAAACCATAATCTATTTCTGCATCTACAGAAAGTGAGGGTCCAGAAAACCAAGACATTTAACTTATTTGGTGACTCTTAACTGTTATGTTACAAATAACAGATTATTAAAAA